AAAAAAGTTACAGATACTTTAGTGATTTCCCCATTGTAGGCTATGGCCCAATCACTGCCAAATCGTTTGAATCCAGTTCAACAAAATCGATTCAGGACAGTGATCCGAATCACCAAATTGAATTACAGTCCCCTGAATCGGCTGAATCCGAATTGAATACTGGCCTTTTCACACAGGCCTAGTATCTAGTATAAGAGGGGTGATTGTGCCCGAAAGCTTGCAAAGAACTTCTTTCCAACTGCTTGGTTGTCCTCATCTACCCAAAGAACCTTGCAAAACTACTATAACAAATTTGTATATTTTCCATATATGGAATCTAATTATTGGGGAGTCATCTTATATTCAAGTGCATACAGTACTTCACTGCCTGGACAGTTTTTCTAGGTGGACCTGCTGATCAGAAGGGTGCAGTAGCTGTTAGACTCATACAGTTATGTATATCCAAGCTGGGTAAAATTTAAATGTAGCAAAACACCTCCAACTTTAGCACTGCTTCATTCAGGGTTGAAGTTAGAGTAGTTTTGCTACATTTGTATTGTTCCTGGCATGTAACTGAAAATGTAACCAGCTGCGGCATGGTTCAAAGCCAGAGTCCATTTTTTCCCTTTGAAGTGGCTCCAAATATATGTTTGTCCAGGTCATTTGAGTGGTTATTGTGCAGAAGGGGCTTGTTGGGTGCATAAGAAGGTCCAAGCAACAAGTTGTGTTGGGAACTAATGCTCTTGAAAAGGAAGTTTTATACAATTCCAGCAATATTGCTTCTTTAATATCATTCCTGCCCTGCATATTTTAGAACACAACGTTTGAACCTCCAAAGTACTTCTTACAGCAGCAGTATCTAGATCAAACCCCTGGAAGTGGTGTTTGTCATGCATCCTTTCAGAGCAGACCTCTCAAAAATTGTGACTTCCAATCAAGCAGATTTTATCTTTAAAGCTGTGAGTTTCCTTTCCCCTGGAAAACATCAGCATTGTACAGCATTTCTTTTGTAGCTGTATTTTGTAGTTAAGTATCAACCTATCTTCCTTAGAAGCACACTTCAAGAAACAGTAGCCTTGTCTCTGTGTAGTCCAATCTCCTTCATCAGTGATAACCAACATGTGGCATGGGCAGCCTGTATACATGCAGCATATGATGGGTTGACAAAGGGACAGGCAGATAAAGCAGAGCAGCAGATCAGG